CATTACAGACTGCGTTGAATTGAGCAGGAACAAGCCAAGGCACCTACAATTTCAACAGGAGGAGAGTGTGAAGAGGGGGGAAAAACCACAACCCTGAAACACCTAGCTTTCAGATGGAGATTTGACCAATAGCCACATTTATTGCATACTGATGACTGCATATAATGTTTTTATTTTGTAAAGGTTACTAACCAAAGCTTTAAATTAACTTACTAAGGTAAAACAGAGAAACTATTGGGTAATTTAAAGTAGGCTCCATAATACCGTTCCATAGTTACAAAACAAAAAAAAGAAGCAGAGACATTTTGTACAAAACCTCCTTAACCTGGATATTTAATGGTGGCAAGAAAAGCTTTTATTGCTAAAACTGATAAAATGGCTCAAACTGGTATAAAAAAAAAATATACTAAAATGGAGATTATTTGAAATGACATTTAATGTTTCCTATTTTATCCTAGTTTTGAAAGAAACAAAGGAAACGTATTAGGGAACTTATTACTAGGGAACCTCTTGAGCAGAAACAGATTTGTCTGCAGCCCATTTTTAACTGCAAAAAATAATATAACTTTACATTGCTCTCTAAGTGTTTTCAAACTTAATCTCCAAGGTACAACATAAAAGCCATCCAAACATTTTACAGTTTTTATCATGCAAAAGGTATTGAAACAAAACACAGACACATTATGAAGGTCATCAGTCTCTTTTAATGGGGGAACTGTATATTTCAATCTTGTTTAGATTAGTACATAACCAACCAACCACCCAACACAGAAACAAGTGTAAAATATATTTTATCTTGATTCAAGAAAAATGGGTCTCCAATTTCAATCAGGGCAAAGAAGATGTAGTCCGTATTTTAAGAATCCATATTTATTATAAAAATACAACTTTCAGCAAGTCCATATACATTTAACAAGCTTCTGCCCCACAAGCATATTACTAGAAACCCTAAAAACGTGAAGTGTACTTCAGTACTTCCCTTAGAGACATTACAAAATTAGAGAAGCTAGATGTGAAAGAGTATTAATAAAAAGCCAAAAGCCTTATGCTTTAATGAAAAAAATCTAGTAATAACTAGTACATCTGGCAGTTAGTCAACACAATTGCAAAAATATCTTTTATTATCAGAGTGAACTGTTGACTATATTGACAGAATAAAACACACAGTTTCAAGTACATCTTCATCTTAAATATTGACCTTCAGAATTAATTCTTTTATATATCTTGTTTCCTGGGAGGCAAGACCCATTTTTAGAATGCTTACTGACATGACTAAAGAACATTTCTGTTAGTCAAACCAGCTGATATGTCTTCAATTTTATTGGTAGCATACCAGTTGTATAGTTAATTGGTGACATTCTAAATGTCTGGCCAGGGACTAACAGGTTTCTGAAAGACACGCTAAAGACCAAAAAAAAAAAAAAGTACCTGAGGGAAATTACTCATTTTCTAAGAAAAAGAACAATAGTGCATTCACTCCCCCTCTGTAAAGAAAAATTCTAACAAAACACTTTCTGGAAGTCTAATGTATGTATATTTAAAATGCTGTGCTACAGAACATCATTAGATATTGTAACTGATAAAACTTAATATATTCTGCCATGCCATAAAATACATACTTGTACTTTTGAAAGAAGTTTGGAGCTTCAAAAAGTTTGGACCACTCTGCCTTACTCAGCAAAATTTCATCTGTGATAGCAAGACCTAAATTATAAAAAAACATTTAAACTTTTTTTTTTTAAATACAGTTTAGTATCCAGAGTAAAAACAGCTTATTAACTTAGCAAAGGCTACTATGAATTATTTCCCCCCTTCAAATTCAACCGAATTTATCAACAAGCTTTATATCTCAGTCATACTTTAAGTGATCATTAGTTATACAAGTAATAATATTAAGAAGAAACACAACAAAATGTTTGGAAATGTATGTTAATTGGTCAGACTGATGATTTCACATATTTTCGCTTTGCAGTGTAACACAGCTCAATTTAGTCTTTTGTGTATGCCACAGTAACTACTCAGTCCAAAGAAGATAGATATCTCTTTCCTTACAGGACTTGGATCATCTCTTCAGCAAGGCATTGTACAGCAAGGCAAAGCAAACAGTCAGACAATAAGCTACTGCTCTGCCTGACAGAGCTACTGGTAGTTGCTCTCCGAATCAAGCCTACTCCTTGCTTTGATAACATCTTCTCTTATCTACTTTAATTATCCAAGTAGATCACTATGGTAAATCTAGAGGACTCGTCTCTGAGCAAGTATATTGTCTTATATTAGGCCTACAAATGGCTAGCAAGGTTGATTACTACACTAATCTTCCATGTGACATGACACAGTCTAAAGCCACTAAAATAAACACACCAAAAAAGATACTGTACCATTAACTCTCATTTTCAGAGCACAAGGCATTCTAATTAATTACCCTCAGCTTCTAAGAGTGAAGGACAGATGTGCAAAAGTCCCTACTCAATTTGGAACTTTAAGCCACATAAGCTTAACAGGCCAAGTTTTACCTTTCTCAGATGAGAATCTCATGTCAAGAAGCTATTTAACACCCTCCCACCTCCCCCCTTCTCATGAAGCATACCCACAATGGAACTATTTTAAATTCGTTTGAAAACATTTATATAGAGAGCATAAGATAATACTTACCTTGTTTAAATTCCTCAACCATGACCATCCGTGTGGAAACGGACACATTGTAGGTAGAGTTCTGCTGTGGGTATGCTGGTGTAATTATAGGCATAAGATGGTACCTATCACTGGGGTTTACCTATATATAACAACAGCCAATCAGTTTTCTTCAAGCATACACATGAGTTAACAAATTTGGATTTCTCCTTTCACTACAACTGAGTCTTAAGTTTTAAGAGACCTTAGTTTGCAGACCAAGTTTACCAACAGTTCAGAGAAAGTTCAGAAAACAAGGATAAAGCTTTCACAAAGGATATCATTCAGAACCACAGTGATGTGGGAGGGCTGTAACCTGTCAGCACATCAAGATCAAGTTGCAGGCGTTTCCAAGTCCAGAAACACCAACAGAACAACTTCTCTCTTTAATAGAAATTAGCTTGTGATTACATCAAAACAAGGATACCTTATCACCACATGAGCACCTTCAGAAGAACGACTGTCTTCAGACCTTGTGAAAAATATTTTATACTTTATTTCTGCAACACTACTGAAAATAAAGGGCCAGCTTAAGACGAGAGGCTCTAGGCAACCTGAGAGAAGCATCACTTGCATTAACGTATCTTTTATTAAACAGCACACAGGGAAACAAAAACGAAGGGACAAAACACAACACGCAGGATACATTTAAAATAGCATTAGGGTAGCAATTTTGTAGATGGTAAATTAGATAAAACCCTGTCATTAATTCACCCCACTTTGTTTAGCTACTGCAACACACAATTCCCACCACACGCTGACCTCAAACCCCCTATCCCAGGAATAACAGCAAGACTCAAGAACACTTTTTCAACTTCCTCACATTATTTAAACGTGGAATTTTGTCAACAAGAAAAACAGAGCTGAAGTACAAAAGGGCATACAACTCAACATCTGGTGCTCACACCATTCACCAAAAAAAAGATTAGTTGAACACCAACTATTCTAAAATTGACAAAACAGCATTGAACACATTCACACTATGCCTTACTAAAACCTCAGAATGTGAGCTGTGCATCTGCTGCAAGCTGTTTTATTGATTGCCTGAAGGACATTAGTGTCCAATGTCCTTAATGTAAGTGCTACAAAGATGGAGATAAAATACTATAAATAATATACAAAACAAATTAAAGACTTCAAGTTACAATCTTCTTTGGTCCAAGATGAAAAAACACATTACTACAACTATATGGAACCAAACCCATCCAGCTGTGACTGTTGCATTGAAGTAAATTTGATACACTTGCAAAAGTAATTTAAGTCAGAAGCAAACTGTTAAGATAAGCAGTTTTTAAAAAATCCTATTGCTTTAAGGCGTATATCTAATGACACTGAATATTTATTAAGGTCACCTATTGCAAAAGTTGGAAGTAAAAAGTACATTGTTCAGCAAGTGTGCTTCAAGCGGTCAGTTTAAAAAATTAAGCTAACTTTGTTCCACACTCTGGAGAACTTGAGGTTACTTATAAAGACATAACATCAAAATATTACGTTTAATAAACCCAAAATGAAGTTCACCTAGGATTCTTTAAGCAACTGAATTTATTGTACAGTGTGACTTATAGGGGAAAAAATAATACACTAACCCTTGGGTCCCATACAGGCAAATTAAGATTGCATTCTTCTGGCTGTTTCAATAGCACTGGATTTGGCCATTCCCTGTTCAAAAAGATTGTAGCACTGAATAAGACTATTGGATACAACCACGTATGTTCAACAAACAATACTTTTGAATGCGATCCTTCTTAAATCTGTTCTCAAGGTAAAGCATAATTTCTCCAAGACTAAGGTGGTCTAACTGTGGTTGTTTAAACAAGCTGTACTGCTGCACTACAATACAGCTGTAATTAGCTGCTGCAGGTCATCAGAACAATGAATTTTCTATAGTCTTGGAGCTTTATATCCACTGGTTTAGGTAACTAAGGTAAACTCCTCTAAATTTTTTTCATAATATACCTATCAAAGACAAATTCCTCAATGAAAATTGACACTGGGTCTATCTTCAAGCTAGCTGTTTCATGGATCAACTACAGAAGAAACAGTCAGTGTGATTACAGTATTATACCATCATTACAAACTATATGTATTAATAAAAAATTCCAATTGAGATAAAAAGAAACCATGCTGAATGAAACAGTAAAAAAAAAAAAAAATAACACTTCTGTTCTTCAAGTCATCTCTACTCCCATGAGTAATCTTCCTATAAAGAGCAGAAGTCAATTAATCTCTTGGTATTTGTATATTAATGCTCCTATACTATGCACGTATAAAATGGACAGCAATATAAGGAACACATTAAACAGATCTTGCAATCAATTTTTCTCTATTAGCTTAGTGTGGCAAAATACTACTAAACACTAGGTACCTCAAAAAGGCTATAAAGCCTATGAATTCAAGACAGTGAAACTGTGGAAATTATCTTCACGTTAAGAAGGAAAGATACTATACTTGAAGTAAAGCAACAACTTGGAACAGTGATTCTTAAAATCTGTCAGTGTCTCATGAAGAACAAAGGTATCCAGACATGCTCTTTCAAGAAAAACGGTATTCATTTGCAAAATGCAAAGTAAGCTTTTGTCCCATTCATTCTAAATTTACTAGGAATGTTCACATTGTTCCCACAGGAGTTATACAAACCATCTTTCTGATGTAACTAGTTCAGAAGTATGAAACCATACGTAATTCCAAAACACCTGCCTCTCCACACTGACAAGACTAAAAACCACACTTTTGCCACTGTTTCTCCTAAACTGAATTTAAGCTATGTGCCTAAACCAGATACTGACATAACTCCTTTTCCCCTTTATCCCAGTATCAGAATGTTAAGAGACTTTAAATTTGGGGGCATCTGCTCTTATTTTGCACTATGTAAGTATTTTATCTGAAGAGTAATGGGGAGCTATAACAAATACTTAAGAAAACTCTAATTAAAAACCGGGTGGTTTTGTTTTGGATACTTTAAGCACAAGACATGTTGAATGACTTATTGAAAAACTCAAGTTACCAACTTTCTGGCATAAGAACAAGGCTTATAACTACCATCTTAGTCTGGTAACAGCTGAAAATGATACCATAAAAACAGGACTAAAATTTAGTGTCTACAAACAATTTTATTTTAGTGTAATCTAATTTAAAAAAAAAAAACATACCATTTAGAAAATACCAAGAAAAATTTATGTACAAGAGTTGATGCTATTGCATTTGGATAAAGCTGGCAAGTTCTTGCTACTAGCATAGCCCAGGAAACACCGCCAAGGAAACCTAGTATATTGGAATAGATGTTGTGGCCTGCGGATTGAGAAGGAAAGAGACAAAAGGAGAGAGTTATCAGTAACCATAGGAGTTAATGAAAACTTCACAATTTTTGGAATAAAACTGCTTACGTTTTGCCCACAGTTTGATAGCTCTCAGTGTTAACCTGAAGTTGTCAATGTTTGGTACTAGATGCAGAATTTCATCGGTTACCCGGCAACCTGCCAAAAGAAAGCATCCATTACAATTGCTGCCTCCGAAGTTTTTTACATACTTACCCTCCCTCACCTTCACAGCTATTAAACTTTTTAGATCAGCATGTTGGAAAGTCATTTTGTATTTCAATCAGTTTTGTTTTGAATTAGTGAGCTTAACATATTTTCATTGGAATTTTTGAGTTTTTTTACTGTTTTATAGCAGTGCTCAGGAAAACAATTCATGCATGCATAGTTACAGTTTTGGACTGCTACTTGATTTTGTGTTATTAATTAATTGCACAAGCTGTTTAAGAACAAAACAAGTTTTAAGTTCTGCTGTTACGGGATTACACACAGCATATCACAGAACATGCAGACAAATCTAAAAATGTATGAGTCTTCATGGACCTAGCGAAAATCCGGAACTCATAGGTCAAAGCTTTGTTTTAATTTATGAGAACAGGCTAGAAAGAATACTTTTTAAAGATACTAGTTGTATCATCACTTTGATGGGCTATTTTCAGGCTTAAGAATAACATTACAGATGACAATATTAACTGCTTGTTTGGCTTTTTTTATTAAATCAGTAGTTGTTCATTGTTACTAAGTAGCTACAGAGAGCTGCTTGCAAGAAAATGGTATTGATCTAAGACTAGGAGTTCCTTTCAAAGCAAGTGAGAATGAATTCTAGAGACTGCACAAACGTGAATTTCACAAAACAGTGCAAGTTGCTGTGGTAATCCCAAGTTATCAAGTTTCCAGCTCATAATAGAAATCAGTGTAATCTCCCATGCTCCTCTTCCCCACCAAGTTGCGTTCAGGCTGAAGCCCCTACTGTCCCGTACATAAATAATTTTTTAAGCTGCAGTATTATAGAAAAGTTTAGGGTTACACAAGCTGGCAAGCTACTAAAGACCTGACATCAAACTCACAGTATTTTGATATCCCCAATTTATCACTGAAGCAACTTCGTGTATGTTTATGCATATTAAAGCACAAACAAATTAAAAAACATGCACACATCTTTATTTATATAAATAGATAGTGCTCCATACAAAAGTGTGCCAAGTCCCATTAAGTTCTAGATAGCAACAGTTACCACCCAAAATAAAAGAAAAAAAATAAATCTGTCCAACAAGAAACAACTCTTCTCTCCAAAAAGATATATAAAACTGGCTATGATTTCATTTCCAGATATACAGTTGCTATATTTTTGTTCAAGTCCACAACTAAACTACTGTATCAAACAATCTAGGGTACTTATTAAAAGATTAGGCAAGAAGTTTAACTGCATATACATACCATTAAGACTTCGTATGCACCTAATATCTAAATTTTTAAGTAGGCTATCATCTCGTAGGTCTAAGTCCTCAGGAATAGTTTGCAGTGCTAATCTTGCAAACAAAATATCAATCTTCAAAAAAACAAGAGATACAAAACATTAGGAAACAGTTTTTTTCTTCTTTAGAATTAATTCTGTAATCTATTTTCAGCAAGTTTACTACTTATAATAGTAGTCTTCCTAGTACAAAGAATCACTTTAAACAATACATACTAATGCCCTTCACAGACATTAAAAGAAACACTTCCAGATGCTTCATCTAGCATACATCTCCTTTTCTAAGAGGATAAAATACACATTAAGACCAATACAGAACCAGCACACACATAAAAACCACATCAACTGTCGATGTAAATAAAAATCATTTGGGGACAAACATGACTTCTAGGTCCAGAATACAAAATTCTAACATGTAAGAGCAAGTCGTGAAAATATAACCTAGTTTTAACCTAAAGAATTTCAAAATTATCACTGAACTAGAGAAAAAGTAGGAGAGCTTTCCCATCTAGCACTGTAAAGCATACACACAACTAGTTGCCTCTGTATACAATCAGTATCTTTTCAAAGTCTAGATACCTGATTACAGAAAAAAGGAAGTTCTGAAAAACTTCGCAAGCTACTGAGCAAGTGTATAAATTTGTATAAATTTTGAAATTATGCCAAATTTCTTCTGCAATAATTTGTCATCACAGCTTTTCTAGGTCAAGAACATCTAAGATACTATTCAGCACTGAACGAGAGTTTTACATTGTCCCATACACAGCAAGGACAGAGACAGAGTAGAGAAGTCAGGCTGCCTTTCCACTCTTAGATTAGGTATCAGTCAGTCAGTATGATGAGAATATAAAGTGCATGTCAGCAGCTGGTCTGCTAGGCAACAAGCCTCCTTCACCAGACGAGGCTTTTAATCATCCTAACTGATACCACTTCACCTACAAGATGATGAAACACCTAGTGCTACTGCATCAAGAACAAAACTGTTTTAGTTACATTAAAACTATTTCAGATAAAATGAAGCTGAAGATACCTTAAGATGAAGAACTTTTCATTGGTGTTTAAAGCTTTGCATCCATCTGTTTTAAACTATGAAGCATTTGTCCAAAGAAAAGTATTTTCTAAAGTATTCAGTGCACATTTCCTTTTACAGTCTTAATAGCTGGTCTTAACAACATTCTGCTACAAGCACAAGTTTCTACTTAAGTTGAAAGTACTTCTTTTCAATGTGAAAGTTGTTCAAAATTAACTTCAGCTTAAAGTTCTATTCTGATCTCTAGCACATCTAAAGATTCAAAGTTCATTGACAATAAAAGGATTTTTCAAATCAAGAAATGAACAGACTGTCCTACGTAACTTTTTGGGAGGCATGGGGAATCAGTTTTCTAGAAGAACCAAAAAAAAAACAAACACCCAACTCAAGGTTCTTGTTTGTTTTAAGCAAGAACATAAAATGCATACATAAAAACTGGTAGTGGCAGAAACTTAAGTTTAACTGACAGGATCACCACAAAACTAAAATTCTTTTCCTCAGTTCTAAGGTTTTCTTTACAGAGAGAATAACTTCTTAAACCTTTTGCCTGGGTTGAGAAAAGGAAAATTAAATGAAAATCTTATATTGACATACTGGGCACAAATGCAACCATCAGAAATTGTGGCCTAACAACACTCGTATATATAAAAAGAGTGCTTATGGTAAGTTAGTGTTCAAGACTACAGAACTCTCATGCACTGTCAGCAATGTGGTTTAAATCACAGAATGGTCAGGGTTGGAAGGGACCTCTGGAGATCATCTAGTCCAACCCCCCTGCCAGAGCAGGGTCACCTACAATCTCAGTCATAAACCTAAGACATCAGAGCCCATCATAAATTACTATATTGCAGTAAGATACTACTACTCTTATAGCAGGATATCCCATTATTTCCCTATTTAGGCTTATATTTTCAATTTCATTTTTTAAAATGGAGAGACAACAGTGGCTTGAATGTAAATGATTGGAAAAAAAAAAATCACAGACTAAGCAGAAGATGCCAACAAGAAGTTTCAATATTTAGGATGAATACCTAAGCTAGGTAAACAGAAAACATTCTCCAGAAAAATGTTGCTAATACCCAACTGTATATGGACAGTAATAAAATGGCTGATACAGATGCAAAGTTACAGGTTAGCGTACATCTCTCATTTGGAGAAAATACATCTAAGTGTCAACTGACACAAATATCAGTGGAAATACAGATAAGTAAAGCTGGATGGGGGAGGGCAAGGGGATGGTTCATCATCTTTCTGGGACTCAAAAATTGCCAGGACCTTCACTAATGATGATTGCAATTGCAAGGCAGATAGTTAACTCAGACTGGGAGAGAAGGAACTGTCCAGTCTTGCACACAATACTGCAGCTCTTCAAAACCAGTCACATGTCAGAAGATTAGCAAGGGAATTCTTTTCCTGCTGTGAAGTTCCCTTCTTATACCCACCAGTTGCTGGCTGACATAATCCATGTACAAGTCTGATGAACTCTGTGTACGAACAGTTTGTATGTTTTTGTCTTGTCACCAAGAAAAGATGACAGGTTGACTATAAAGCAGACCGAGAAAGATTAACAGAGTATCTTTTGAAAGCAATGTTCCTGTTTTCCCAGCAACTTCTCCCAAAATGGTGAAAATTAAGTTAGGCAAGTTACAGAATCACAGAATGCCCTGGGTTGGAAGGGACCTCTATCATCTAGTCCAACCCCCCTGCCAGAGTAGGGTCACCTACAGCAGGTTCATCACTATAAGTTCATCACTCCGAGACAGCTGATCCATCGAGCTACAGGGAAACCGGATAGAAACTGGCAGACCAAACCCGTTGTTTTGGTCATGCGTTTACAGATGTCCAAAGAGATCGGGACAAAGGGGATATCCAGTTTGCCTTCAACAGTAGAGAGAACTGATCAAAGATCACACAACTTCCTCTATTATAAGGTATTGAAGCAAATCTGAATTTGATGTTTGGACAATTAATCATTAGCAGCCAAAAAAGTACTGAAGGCACGTTATTTATGACTATAATTTCTATGAAATGTTAAGTCTTAACAATGCCAATACTGGTACTCTACAGGTCAGTAAACTAGTAAGTACAAGGGGACAGCAGTGCCTAAAAAAAGAACAGAGAGATATTCTACACACAGCTTTAAATACATCAAGACAGACTTATTTCAGTCTTAAAGTCCCACTTTAAATTACACAACCGAGGACTGTTGTCAAGGACTTAGATATGCACTTAGGAGAGTCACTCTAAGAGCATTCATATTAACGAATGCTACACAAGCTATGGAGATCTTGAAAACTGTTTTAACCGTGTTCTACCAAAACAAAATAAAAAAAGATGTTTACCTCTATTCCATCAAAACAAAGCTTAATAACTGGGACAAAAGCTTCTTCAACAGCCTGGAAGGGGAAAAAGTTATATTTTATTTTCAGTACAGAGAAGGACATTTACAAGTAATAGCTAGCAGGTCTAAATAACCACGATGAAATGCTATATATACAGATGCTTCTCCATTTTCAGGTCAACTTTTGTCAGCAACATCTTTCTCCACCATTGAGGATTTATGCAGCAAGCCCTGACCTACTAAGTGCTACAACTGTCTAGATGTTAATTATAACCCACACTCATACCAACCAGCTCTGATGATGATACCTCAAGGTCCAACTCTCTCACTACGTGTAGGACATGATCAAGCATCTTTTACTCTACACAGCATCTCTAAGTATTCTAAGGCCAACCTATGGGGTTTCTTACACTAAGATGCATCTTCTATTGTTTCTGCAGTCAGTATTTTACAAGAAGTGACAAAGAGACAACTGTGTAACCATGCAGTCTGACTTCACCTAAACCAGTTGCAAGTCACCAGTCCCAAGAGCTCAAGCATCTTTTCTAGATGTGGTCGTTTATAAGGTACTTTGACAAACAGTATCCATGATGAAACTACGGAATGTGATGTCTACTCTGCAGTCAGGTAGGAATATCACCTTGCTGAACTGCGCGTGTGAACTAAATGCAGATCTGCAGAGCACTGCTTTCATAAAAACCAAGAACACTGCATACTTCTGAATAAGAAATGCCAGGTACTGCTAGAAGCTTTAGACAGTTCTAAGAGTGTTCTAGTTCTTAACAAGAGGAGGAGCAACACTATTCTATGCACTTAAGGTTACCTTAATGTTACTGATTGGCAGGATGTATCTTACGCAAAATAGTAAGTTCACAAGTCTCCCAGACTCACTCACTAGAGTAACCGTTAGGAAAGTCTAGGTTCCTTAAAGATGGAAACGTACAAACTTTCTTAGACCTAGCTGAAACGACTTGAAAGTGTTATGACACCCTGATCTGCAAGTTATTTGCATAACTGCAGAGCTACACTGAACAGCATACGTTGATCTACCTTGCTGCTAAATCAACTACATTAGCTTGTGTTAGATTGAGTTCACAGAAAAGTTAAAGAGGATTCTGATTTTTCAGATTTTCCAATTAATTACAGCATGTGGATTTAAAGTTTAGTGAAAGCGTTCAGATAATAAAGCATTCAGAACAGTTGTTTCTGTGCATATAGTATTACCACCAGATATTTTCACCACCCTGGTAGTTACCAACTACAAGATACACAGAGTGAAAGAATGCTGCAGGGACAGTCCTATTTATTTTACAGGACCAGGACTAAACCAAAAAAAGTTTAATTCTTGCGAGCAACTACCTTTTCATCTAAAAAGAACCAATTGCAGCAGAGAAAATATACTGTGAGCCAACACTGAGAAGATTAAAGCTCCCACCAGCTGACCTAGGGAGGCTGGTCATTTAGGTAGATTAGAATGGTCTAGTCATTTCGGTAAACTAGAAACAAAATACTCTATACCAGTGTGTCTTTCATTCCTACAGGGGAAATCTCCATCTTTACATGCTAAAAATCTTGCACAAGCATCTAATAATGACACACTAAAAATGTAACCTCCATTTTCAAATGCACAGTTGACAGCCATTATAGAAGGTTTAGTTAATATCAACCACTGTAATTGTTTATGTAAGTATGAAATTATAAAAACAGCAGCATAACAATACAGTTTAAAACCTTTATTAAAAACACACAAGGTAGCTTGAAAAGGATCAGGACCAAATACTTAGACTTGCATCTGCCTCTTGCTATAGAGAAAGCAAAAGTTTTGTAATACTAACACACATGCTATGAGATCATTATGCCATCCAGACTTTTAAATAAGTGTCTCTAGTAAGTGTTAACAGAGAAAATATGGAAGAATCTCTCTTTATTTCAACTATGGTGATAGGTTTTGCTGCAGGTTAACTGAAAACCCATTGCAAGAATTAATAGTAAAGTTAGATTTACTTATTTAATGCATTATCTTTCACTATTAACTTTTCAGCATCATTGCTTCGGCTAGCTGTATGAGGCAGTTCACATACCCTCAGATCTTTTACTTCTTCTTGTTGCTTCAGTTTTTCATAAAACGATGTGAAAAAATCACTTCTTTCAACATGTCTTGGTGCAACACACAGGGCATCAATATCAGCACCTGAAATTGTTTATTAGCACAAGTTACACACACTTCACACACATGAAATGCCAGTAATAGCCAGAAATCTTTTTGAAAACAAACAGGAAAATTTAGTTTCTCCTCCTGTAGAATGGCTTTTCTTTGGTAATACCAAGTCAAACTAAATGGGAAAAAACCAAACCAACCAACAAACAAAAACACCTCCTCACAAAACCAAAACATGTTCCTGGCCATTAAGCATGCTCAATACATACACATATTCTTCTTTCAATTGTGGAACATGTGTAGCAATTTTCAAAGAACAAACGACAAGAAGTATACAACTTTCTCTATTTTTAAATAATCTCCAGCTTTTTTGCCCGTTTCCCAACCCATGACAAGAACACAAGATAGGAATATATTTCTTTTATTTAGAATGAAGATTGGAGATGGCTGACAAAATAAAAAGAGAAAAATATCTAGCACCACCTCAAAAGACAGCAAGCTTTTGTGACATTTACAGATACGTCATTAGCTCAAACATATGAGTTTTTATTATAAAAATAAATTTTACCTTTTGTATGAACTCCTAATCTATAGGATCCAAATGTAAAAATTTTTCCTCCAACGTTTTCTATTACAGACTGTGGAAGATTCTAAATGGAGCAAATAAGAGTGGTTATTTCACCTTAACAAGTTAAAACACCATACACACAATTTATCTTAAAACAAAAGCAAAATATACCACAACATTTGTATTGTTTAATGTGTAGTTACTACTGAAATAATAATCTTAGTATTTACAGAAAAGACAGAGGTATGGTTTGCCACTTGGGAACTATTTGTAACATTTCAACTGCTTCAAACTTGGTAATTGTTCTAGCAGTTCTACACTTCAGGCGCAACATTTTTAAAATATTACGGACATTAAACACATTTTTCTTAATACACAGGCATTTTAGACTGACGTAGAAACTGATGATGAATTCCAATTTACAGCAACAGAATAATACTATTTACACTACCAGCATGTATTAACCTACTTTCAGAGACATCCATACCACATTCTTTAAATAAAAGTCTGGATTTGGGAAAGGTATTTGCTTTATGTTAAAGTTGTTCAAATACACATACTAAGGTTCCTAGATTTGTATCTTAAAAAAATCTCTTGAATCCACAGTTACCCTTTCATAACAGGATGCTATGTTACAATCTGGAGCCCTACATTAATGGTCATGCAGCAAAAGATATAAACAAATTGAAAACGAATTATTTTGCAATATATATTGGATTAACTTAAGTAGTTTCCAAACTTACACCAGTCAAGATACTCTTACTGTTTTGTTTTCAAGGATCAACATATATGTAGCAGGGTCACCCATCCCCCCAGTAATCTTGTTCACGTATATTCCCATTTCAGAAGAGAAGTGTACAGAAGAAATACAATCCTAAATAAACTCAAAGCCAAATAGCTTAAACCATTAGGTTTTTACCTCTAAAAAAGCCACTTCCATCTTTACATTTTTGCAAGCCTATAGTCATTC